CAAGTCAGTAGGTGGAACTATGGTCATGAGTACCCAAATGTAGGAACGTTCCCATTTTTGGGAACGGAGTTCCCAAATATGGGAACGGGCGTTCCCATTTATGGGAACGGAAGGTAATTTTTCGGCCGTTCGCCCACTAAGACTCATTAGTGCATCACGTTTCAAAAAAGTGCACGCTAATTCAAGTATCTACTAAGTCTCTATAAAATTATCTTTAATCTGACCGTTGCACAAGGAAATTGACCGTCGAATGATATTTTTAATGATTTTTTGAAGTGACGGAATGGTGAAAACATGGGTTATTCTACATTTAACATGCAATTTTAAGGAAAATGAAGCGTTTTTTACATTTTGAGGTCAAGTATAATAATTTTCGCCTGGTTATGAAGTTTCATATTAGGGACACCAGATGCTGACATATGCAAGCGAACACGCGGACAGTCCGGGGGTAATATTGTTGACTTTTGGTGTCGGGGCGCACGACCTCGTGGAACGTCAGTGATTTTACCGAACTACTGTTGTAAACTCAGTTTTAGTGGTTTGAAATTATTCAGCTGTATTTTATCAGCCCGGAAAGACATATTTTATTTGGATGCTAGCTGTTTAGCGTTGTTTTATAAGGAGCGTCATGAGCGTGGTTTTTGTCTTCCATGTTTCTAAGCATGATCGTTTTGGGGGAATTTCTCTTATATAGGTCGCTCTGTGTGGCTTGTTTATAATTTTTATGCTGATTTCGATCGTTCCTCGTGCCCATCCTACCAGGCTTTTTGCCACTTACACTCATCAAGAAAGGAAAAAACTAGATTTTCATTGGGACTAGGTGTTTTGAGGGTGTAACATACTCAGCGTTCCCATTTTTGGATACTTCCTTGTGCTCGTCAACTATCGGTGATAAACAAACAGGTGCTTGACATGTCTCCACCCTCGGCGCGGACGGTGGATATAGGTATGGAAGACCTTGTTGAACATCGCTGAGCGTTGTGAATTACGTAATCCTGCAGAGGGGGGCATGCCCGCTGCGAGATCGACGGGAATAAAAGCAAGGGCGGATCTAGGGGTTCGTTTTGGGGGGGGTCACCAGTCGGCCGACATGCCAGGTCTGATGAATGAATTCTGACGACCGGGGGGGGGGGGGGGGTAGGGAGCGAGTATGTCGAGATCAAATGACATTTGATCTTCGTCGTTTCTAAGATGAAGTTTTATCGTAAGTCACTCGGCTCAGTAGTTTTAGTTAGTGAAACCCACCTATACAGGAGCGTCGCCACGGATTTTTTACTGGGGGGGGGGGGTCAGATCGACCGACTTAAAAACCCAGAAGTAGATATAGTTACCTCACTTTTAGCCTAATGCATTAGTAGCATACAGTCACGATCTCTCTTATTGACCTGTGTATGAATCGGCGGCGCGAAGCGCCGCAAAATTTTTTTACAAAAAAAGTTGTCAAAACACAGCTCTAAAACACAAATATTACAACCCTTTTAGCATGCTAGTACAAGCCGGAGTTACTTCACAGTACACATATGAATTCCGATTCAATTTAAGACACGGTCGGTGTTATGTTACGATCTCTCTTATTGGTTGGTGTATGAATCGGCGGCGCGAAGCGCCGAGAAAATTTGCAAAAGAATGTGTCAAAACACAGCTCCAAAACACAAATTTTACCACCCTTTTAGCATAACAGTACAAGCCGGAGTTCCTTCACAGTACACATATGAATTCTGATTCAATTTGACACGGTTGGTTTATGTAATTAGTCACGATTTCGTATTGACCTGTACGTATGTACATGAATCGGCGGCGCGAAGCGCCGCGAAAAATTTGCAAAAACATTTGCCAAAACACAGATGGGGCCTCCTCTCTACAGAGGACCACCGATCTCTACTGCGGGCCTCCTCTTTTCACAGGGCCTCTTAACTAGGGGAGAGTGGGGCTATGCGTTACACTTTTTGGTTTTCTCTACTTAGCGGCCAACCTATTCAATGGACTTGTGCCAAATTTGGTCACATGCTAGCTGAGTCAATTTGGAAAGCACATGCAAACTTTCACTTCTTTATGACAATTTACTTTTACGTGAAAGGCAGAAAACCAAAGCAAGATTTTTGGGGTAAGTTGAAAAATTGTGGGGCAAGTTGATACACAGTGTGGGGTTACATGTTACACTTCTTTTCCGTAGTTTCTTCATCATTATAACGATCATTGACCGTCCTATCGGAGCCGATCGTAAACCTTCATTATGGGTAACACTAAACATGCTTTCCTTCTTATTGGAAGGCAGGGGCAATAAAGCATAAAGCATTACTGAACTCCACAGGCGTGAAAAGGTTCATCAAATATGGTTAAATTTCTTATTTGCCTTTACTGCGACACCCGAGGGCACAATGCCTTGCCATACTGACAGGACTTTGATTTTCTGTACGAAATTTATGCCCAGGTAAAATGGTGCACGCTACAAATATCTTTGTGCAGTCATCTTTAAACATGCCCCGGCCCTGCGTCGGCCGACTTTCACACGATTAAATTCACATGTTTGTTTTCCCGAAGAGGCTAGTGCTTTTCACTTGATAATCTTACAAAAGAAATGATCACTTAATTTTGTGAACATGCATTCAACAATCTTACACGAATAACTTTGACAAAGATCGATCCAAAGTGTTGACTAGCAAAAAATACTTTTGCTGTCACAACTTACCCCGGTGCGCCTACAGGGCGACTTGGCGTTCCACCAGGTCTGAGCCTGCGTGACATGTAAAACGTTCGCAACCTTTCTGCTATTGTAAATATTGGTGCGATATCAATAGCATTTTTAAAGATATTTGCTTTGTAACAACTTACCCCTGTAACAAATAGCCCCACTCTCCCCTACAGAATGCCTCCTTTACAGAGGGCCTCCTCTCTTCAAAGAGCCAGAGGACCTCATCTCTGCAAAGGACCTCATCTCTGCAAAGGGCCTCCTCTCTGCAGAGGGCCCCTTCTCTACAGAGGGCCTCCTTTCTTCAGAGGGCCTCCTCTCTACAGCGGGTCTCCTCTCTTCAGAGGGCCTTCTGCATTCAGGCGGTCTCCTTTCCACAGAGGGCCTCCTCCCTACACAGGGCCTCCTCTCTACATAGAGCCTTCTCTCTACAGATGGTCTCCTTTCTACAGAGGGCCTCCTCTCTAAAGGGGCCTCCTCTCTACAGGGGGTCTCCTCTCTACTGAGGGCCTCCTTTCTACAGAGGGCCTCCTACCTACTGAGGAGTCAGAGGGGCCCTAGCGGTCAGACACAGACACTAGCGGTTATTCACAGGAGGCCCCAGGAAGTAAGAAGGGCCCTAGCTGTCAGGCTGGTCAGAGCTGGCCCTGAATGCCCTGACGTGATTTTTGGGATTCCCGTGAATTTCTTTCGCCTCCGACGTGATTTTGACCTGCCAGGGCCCAGGGGCACTAAAAATAAAACAAACAAAATAAAAAAATGGAAATAGGACATCACCAAAATTAAGTGGCCGAAATCCGTTGAGTTTTTAAATTTGCGTATAGGTAGGGGCACCACGAATTAAATTCATGACCATCCCCTTGGAGTTTTCCTGGATCATCCCCTGGTGCTCGCACGGTTGAGACAAAAACGAGTAAGATTCTGGCCTTCAATACGCCTTTTCACGCAACACGATCCAGAAAAACAAAGGTGTTTGACTCAGAAGTGTTTGGCAGGTGATTTTGAGCATGCAAGACGGCGTCTATACCGCATTTAAGTCTTCGGCTTTTGGGGGGGGTCAAATGACCCTCTCAGACCTTTTGGGGGGGGTCATGACCCCGTGGACCCCCCCCAGGATCCGCCACTGAATAAAAGCGCAGAAGACCGGGCGAAACATGCGACGGTCTTGCCGGAAAGGTCATCTGATGATTGTTGCGTTAACAATAATTTGCGGCGTTGGACGTGATGCTTGTTAATGAAAAGAGCCCCTGAAAGGCGTCGGTGAAATCGTTCCCAATTTTGGGTACGCCGTTCCCATAATAAGGAACGCTTGCAGCGCCAGTGTACGAGAGCGTTCCCAAATTTGGGATCGCGGCCCGGATGATGGACTGCTTTAGAAATAGGGGAACGATTTGAAACTACGATGGGCCTTACAATATCAAACTCTTTCCCAACAATATTGAGACAAATATCAGGCGGTTCACGATCGTTTTATATTTTTTGGACGTCATTTAACGGTTCTTTTTCTTGTTTTAAATAATGCCTACATGGCGTTCCCATATTTGGGTTTATCGTTCCCAAACATGGGAACGAAAATGCGTTCCCGAAAATGGGTACGCTTGACCATAGTTCCGCCTACTGAAGTGGCTTCAATAAGTGGCTAAATTTATCATCCAAGGATTTATTGAACGGATTCTACTGTATTAGGGGAACCACATATTTAAACAGATTAAGCTGCGACTTAATAAATGTAATCCCCTTTATTAAAATGATAAAAACAGAATATTCATATACATACCTCGCCTCACAACATTGCCGGTGATAGCAGCAGATGCTGATCTGATAATGCGAAAGGAGAACATTTTTAAAACTTAACTACCTTCAGGAATACAATCCAACTAGCAACCACATCAAATCCGATCGAATTTATCTAACAAAACCAATCTAATTGCTCCCTTCCTCCCTCAGTCTTGCCCTCAGTGGCCTTTGAGTGAAGAAGAAAATAATATGACGTCACGTGTAGACAAATACAGCGCACACTTTTCTTTGACCGTGCTTTGACCATAATTTTTGGCAACCAACTTTGTAAGATGAAAGTGCATTTTTTAGAATTTTTCAGTAGATTTGAAAGATTCATTCCTATTTATCAAGAATCAAGCACGTTCATTGTTTCAGCTTTCTGCATGCTATTATTTCTTGAAATATTTGTAGTGACGTCATTTCTCTTCTTACCAAAGCCGCTTCTCACATAATTGTAATATTTTTGCGATCCTTGACAACTGTCACGAATGCGCCGCACGCACTACTTGCCGAAGCCGAAATGGGGGTAATGATTTTTTCAGTGTTTTTACATACCTTGGATTTTTTAAAAACATATTGAATATAGGTATATGATATGGACCATTGGAATTCATGATTTAAACAAAGATATCGTGATTTTGTTCCGTGGATGGCTAGCGTTTCTCGTGGCGAGTACATTTTTACTGTTGTCTATACTCTCACCGGAAATGCACATCTACATCCCATTGCATTTCAATTTTATTTATTTGCATTCGGTCAGCATTTCAATTGTAATCTGATTCTGTTTGTGATGCTTATTGACTACCACTGTTATGTACCTGGTACCATGCTCAGCTCATATGTCTCCAGTTTTTGACTGAGATACTTATCATTATATATATGCAAGAGCCATCAGTCAGGTCAGGTGCGGTTTAAATAATTCAAGCAGTGAGCTCGACAAGGTGTTTTGGGCAGCAAGAATCCTGCCCCAAATGTGGAAGTTTACCTCAGTACCAGGCACAAAGTTTGCCAACAGAGCCTATCACCACACATTATGTGGGAGGCTTTTGATGTCAATACATACATACATAATGCATACATAATATCAAGGTGCACCAGCTGGCAGGCTGTGGTGAAGAAGACCTATAGCTTTGCCTCAAAATACAGACATTAATGCTTTTTATTAGCTCTAATCATTGGTCTTTTTTTCCCTGACACACCCCATTGTTTCTTTCTGCCTCATCATTTTCTTGGGCAATGATGCACCTGCATAGCTGATGGCAGCTACCACAGCTGCTGTGCGACCCTACCATATTGGAGCCCTTGCAGCCCTACCCTAAATCCACACCAGACTGCACCACAGTGTGTCTTCACCATACCCAGCCTGGGAACAATTCATGCTACCAAAGGCACTGACATCAAATGATTGATATGGGGGCAGGGAGATGGATCTAAGAGAACTGTAATAAAATCGAACATAAAGACATCAAGAAGGCTGTTTTGAAGACCTTATTTCAAGCATTTTGTCATGAGTTTTTTTTTGCTGTAGCACATGGGCTGTGCATATGCTGCCATGCATATGATCTTTAGTTTCCTGTTTTTCTTCAGGTTAACTTCTGGTGACCAGATTGCCAAGAAAAATGTCTGAGGTCCAGCTGCTCTTCTTTGACACATTCGCACATGACTCTGGCACTGTAAGTATGCTCTGCTCATTATAATCAATGCACATATCTTCAATTTTCTACTCACTCACTGTCATGTCTCGGCACAGGGACTGTTAGCCTATCATTGTTCAATACAAGTCACATCAGTCTGTTCCATCATTTCCTTTTTATCTATAGGAGAGATCACTTACATATAGCATCAACTCTTGTTTATGTCTTTCTGACTGATTTGTGTGTTATGCTGATCCTCAGTACTAATGTGGAACTGCTGCTGTAATGAAAATCGTTTTTTTTTTCTTAGGACTTGAACCTCGACCTGGTCAAATTCAACCGAGAGGTGTACATCAGTGAGGTTCGCGTCATCCCGCTGGGGGCGCGGGTGCGAGCCGATTTCCCCGGCGGCGACCGCCTCGGGGCCACCAACCCATCCGAGTTCACGCTCGACTTTTTCGTCAACGATCTCAGCAAGCCAGGAGTGTCAGCATTCCAGAAACTGGGTACCATCAACTATGACCAGAAGGGAAAGATTCAACTGGAGTTTAATAACAAAGTAAGCGGTTGCCCTGAGTCGCCGTTTTTAAAATCTTAAACTTAGCTTTTTCTAATATGTTGCTTTACTCAGTGATAGCAGGTCATAGAATAATCGTAGTTGTTTTCACGCTTTCTTTGCAAGTTTGGTTTGTGCGTGCATTTTTTGCTTCTGCATAGTGTATGCGCGTGTTGTATGCGTGTTGAACATGCGTGTGCGATATGATTTGCGGTGACCGGAGCGCGCGGCGTCCTCCCCCAGACTCCGACGGACGGGCTGGTGCTGCGCGGCTGGTACAGCGCCGTCACACTGGCCGTGTACGGCTCGCTGACGCGGCGCTCCGAGCCAGCGCCGCCGCCGCAGCAGCAGCCCCTGGCGGCCGCCGCCGACACAGCCGTCACCGACTGCCAGCAGGAGGAGCCGGCCGCGCCCGAGCCGGTGCGGCCGGCTCCGGCGGTGCCGGCCACCCCGCCGCCGCCGCCCGTCCAGGTCAGCCCGCCGCCCGTACAGGTCAGTCCCCACCATATACAATGCAATCCCTTCCCGTCCAGGGCAGTTCGCCCCCGCCGCTGTCCTTCCAGGCTAGGTGGATGCCGCCTCCCGTGAAGGCCAGATACATTGGCTCGCCGCTCGGTGACCCTGGCTGAAATGAACGGCAGTCATAATACCCTGTATTATTTTTCGCAGCCATTTTGCCAGCATCTTTCATTATTTCATTCCTTGCGTTGCATAGGCCTCCGCTTCTCGTTTTCACACCTTTGATATTTTAAGTTCGCGAAAAATCTAATCTCGATTCAGTTTGTGATTGTAACCATGATTAGACGCCTTGTCATAAGATCCGTTGTATTGCGGCGTTTTGTGGCTGTCAGAGCCCGGATGACCAAGAACGTATTTCTCCTCCGTCAACAGACGGAGCCGGAGCGCGCCGTCTCCCGTACACCGCCCAGGTCACCGCCGGCCGACCAGCGAGGCCCACCGCCGGCGCCCGCCTCACCGTCTGCGCACAAAGGTACGGGGAGCACGGGTGTACAGACTCGCGTCTAGAATATTGCAAGGTTTCTAGCTCCCACCCTCTAAGCTAATGGCTCGGACAATGAGCAGAGTTGATAATTATTGAAAACGGGTATTTTTTTAATGCAAAGGGCTGCTCTATTCAATGATAATAAGATATTATAAGATTGCTAATAAAGTGACATGGGCTAAACACTCATGGTGGCACGAACACCGAAAGCACGTATTATAGGCTGTAATAAATAGGCTTGTATGCACTATAAATTGGCCGTTGTGGGCCGTTGCCAGGCTGGTCCGCGTTTAACCGCAGCCGTCCGTTCCAGCCGGTGGCGCCCAGGAGGAGTCGCTGCACCCGCTCTCCCCGGGCGATGTGGAGGCCATCAGCGACGACGAGATCCCGGAGCCGGCGGAGCGGCCGGCGTCCGGTGACGACAGCGCGCCGCCGGCCGCCGAGCCGCCGAGCCCGCCCGCGCCGCCGCCGCCGGCACCTGCCGCCGAGACGGCCACACCGCCGCCGCCGCCGGAGCCGGGCGACGCCGGCCTGGAGGACATCATGTCAGACGAGGAGCCGATGGACGTGCTCGAGTACCAGGACGACGAGGACTGGGAGGAGGCGCTGCGGCCCTTCAACCCGGACACCTTTCAGCTGCTGCCACTCACGGTACGTGGCCCAACTCGACCTGTATAGTGTTAGTTTACGGTATCTGATTGTACGGCCCTCCAGGTATTAAGTGGTTGGTTGCCAACATCACAATAAGCGATCTGCATTGATGAATACGTCTAATGGCTGTTGAAAACCACTGCCGAAGTGTGTGCACGAAACCTCTTCTCATTTTTATTGCCTCATTTTACAGGAGTGTCTCTGTCATTTAAAGTTATTACACCAAAAGCACATAGGCTAACCAACCACTCTTTTGCTGGAGGGCCGTAGGTACCTGTGCCAGTTCAGCCCTCTGGTTTGGCCCAGCTGTTAATGATGTTTTCGTTCACCGATGGTGCTATCTTCCCAGCCCAACAAGCAGAATGCGGTGCGCGTGTTTCGGGGCAGTCGTAGTTCTTTGTTGGGATACCGCCCACTCCAGTCCATACCAGGTTTACTCTTCTGACCTCGATGTTATTTTCAGGGTCTGCGGCCGCCGTGGTTGACGCCGTTCGAGCTCGCCCAGCTGGGTGAGGAGAAGTCGGAGTGGTGTGACCGCCTGGCGCAGCTGGCGGCCGCCTACGGCGAGCAGTGGCGGCCGGCCGCCGGCGGAGACGGCTCCGAGGCCTGGCTCGAGGAGATGGAGACGCTGGCGCCGCACCTGCCGGCCGCGCTCGGACAGCTGATGGCGCGCGGCGGCGACGGTCAGTAGCCGGTCCTCTCGGACTAGCTGGGGTGCTGATCGGATCATTGCCATAAATAAGCCAACTTCTCAGCGTAGATTAACTACTCGACAGTCTGGCAAACGTCATCTCACATCCAGTCGACTCTGTTAGGCTCATTACTGTCTTTTTACATTCTAGCTCTACCGACATTGAGCTACATTATCTGTACTTTAATCGGTGACAAAACTGTTGACCGCTGCACCTCAAGCTGACCGTGAGACCCAGTATGTCTTGAATATAAGCGCCCTTTACCGGCCAGCTACCGTTACTGACTCACGCCGCTCTGCGCCGCCGCAGACCCGGTGCCGGCCGTGCTCGGCTGGCTGGAGCACGGCCTCGACTTCGAGGCGGCCGTGCGCCAGCAGCAGCTGCCGTTCAAGCTGCGCCACATCAAGGTGGGCGTCCGGCTGGCGGCGGCGCTGCTCGGCTGTGACTCGGCGCTGGCCGAGCGGCTGGTGGCGCGCGGTGTGCTCGACAGGCTGGCGGAGCTCTCCGAGAGGGAGCACATGGCCGCCTCGGTCCGACTGCTGGTGGTGTCGGCACTCTCCACGGCCGTCCGCTGGCAGACCGGACTGCAGGTAAATGACATTATCCAGTGTCTAGCCCTGAATCAGTACTGCTGTGTTATTGTGTGTTTCATTGTCTACGCGTAACGCTTGTGTTTGTCGATTCTATGTCTTTGCTTCCACCCACGTCTGTCTTCTGTCAAGTATCTGACGTTGGCCCTTTCTGTCCGTCGCCAGGGCTTTGTCAGTGGCGAGCCGTCCGGCTACAGCCGAATGGTGGCTCAGCTAGCGGGAAAAATGTCCGCCAGACTGAAGGCTGCCTACATCTGCCTGATCAGAAAGGTAAGTCTGCCAAAGCCTCGTGATATTACGAGTGTTTGAAAAAAAACATCGACCGGTTTGTGACCTCCTGTCAGACCAGACCTGACCAGATGACTCTGTCGTTTTGTTAGAGCAGACTGGCCCTAGCTAGAACGCTTTATTTGGTGCTAAACTTAATCTTTCTCATCTCTTCATGGTATAGCAACCAGTATAACGCCTTTTGGGGCGACTAACGGAGCGAGCGAGAGGGTGGGCCTTGCACGTGCGAAATTGCGAGGGGGTACCTCCAACTGACTTGTGCACGGCACCCTACTATTTGGTCTCTAGCGATGTGCCAAATTTGGGCACAATCGGCCCAGCCGTTCTCGAGATCTGGAAGCGGCACCCTGCACGTGCGCACGTGCAAAATGGGTCCCAACTGACTTGTGCACGGCACCCTACTAACCGGTCCCTAACCGTGTACCAAATTTGAGCGCAATCGGTCCAGCCGTTCCCGAGATCTGGAAACGACCCCTGCACGTGCGCACGTGCAGCAGCACCCCAACTCTGGCACATGTATATGCAGTGCCTAGTGGGTGCCTACCTACATGCCAACTTTCAGCGCAATCGGCCAAGTAGTTACCGAGATATTGCAACAATTACAAAACTGACACCTCTTCGTTTTGCACGTGGCACGTGCATAAGGGGTCACCCACATGCATCGGGAATAGTCGAATACTTGGTAGAAGGAATGAAGCTACCCTACAAAAATTACCGCGTGTAAATCGGTCAGGTGGTTGCTGAGATATAAGCCTCGCAAAAGCGTGACCACGGCCGGCCGGCCGCTCATACTCAGAAATTTCCGTTAATCTAAGGAAAGACTACGCTCGCTTCGCTCGCTCCGTAACGAAATGAATGCTGGAACCAAACCAGTCGTGATTGAATTTGTGGTCAGCATCCAGTATTAGGCGGGGCTGGCGTGCTGGGCAGTGCTGACATGTACCCGTCTTTGACCGCAGGGTTGGCATTTTTGCCGGCAAAAACTAGTTTTTGCCATTTGCCGGTTTAAACCGGTTTTAACCGGCATAAAGTGGCAAAAACTGGCAAAAACTAAAACAGTCAAAACGCTATGCCTCTACATGCGTTTGAGCAGGACACGTTTAAAGTAGGATTCAGTCAATACAATATGCTTTCAAACAGAAGTGGTATCTTGACCATTTTAGTGTTAAATAGTTCCGTGAGTCCTCTATAATTAACCAATAAGGCGCCTTTTTGGTGAGACAAATGAGAAAGTGCGCCGGCGGGCGGCGAGTATTGAAGAAGTGGGAAAGGGCATCTGCCACTGACTTGTGCACCGGACCCTACGAACCGGTTCCTAACAGTGTCAGTGCCAAATTTGTGCTTAGTCGACGTAGCCGTTCTCCCAATCTGGAAGCGTCACCCCGCACGTGCGCACGTGCAAAATGGACCCCGACCGACTATGCACGACACCCTACTAATCAGTCCCTAACGGTGTCCCAATTTGAGCGCAATCGACCCAGCCATTCTCGAGGTCTGGTCGGAAACGACTCCTGCATATGCTCATGTGCAGAAGCACACCAACAGCGATGCATGAAAGTGCACTTCCCGGTGGACATCTATTGACTACCGACAGACATTTTAAGCAGCGGTAAACTAGCGAGACAATGCTTACTGGGTCCCAATGACAGACATGACTTTGTACATTTCAACCGATTGCTTTTTAGGCAAACAACGCAGTTTTGGCTACTTGAGTTTTTGCCAGTTTCTGCCAGTTTTTGCCACCATGGTTTCTGCCAGCCGGTTTAAACCGGTTAAAACCACTGGCAACAACCAGTTTTTGCCACCCTCTGCCAACCCTGGTACTGGTGCACGTCCGCCAGACCGTCTCCGAGCTCTGCTCCGTGGCCAGTGATAGGACGTGTGTCGGTGCTGACGTGTGTCTGTCTTTGGTCCAGGTGCACGTCCGCCGGACCGTCTCCGAGCTATGTTCCGTGGCCAGTGAGCTGGGCACCGCCGAGCTCTCCACGGACTCGGCAGTCAACACTGCCGACCTCCTGCTCCGTGCAGAGGCCTGTCTCATACAGGTGAGACAACATCAGAATGAACTACTCCCAGTCCCCTCGACGGGCCCAGGCCTGCCTCATTCAGATAGGTAAACAACAGTAGATTGGTGCCTTCCCGAATCGAGGCTCGTCTCTCGTGGGTGGGGGTGGTTAGGGGAGCCTCCCGAGTGGAATCGGTCTCCGTTAGGGTGGACGGTGTATGTCGAGAAGCGCGCGTTCGGAGGGTATGCTGATGGTCTCCCCCTGCTGCGGTCAGGTGAGCCGGCTGCTGCGCTCGGCCGACTCACTGCTGGGCCACCCGGAGCGGGCTCTGCCCACACCGGTGGCCGTGCTGCCGGCGACTCCAGCCGGCCGGGCGCGCGCCGACCTCTGCTACATGCTGCGCTGGTCGGGCCTGCCCGAGGCGCTGCTGGTGCTGCTGCAGACGCCCGCCTGCCTGGCCAGCTCGCGGCTGGTGGGCGCCGCCAGACACCTGCTGAACGGTGAGGGACGCATCGAGTTGGACGACCGATCGGACCAAACCGAGCGACCCGGCTTGTAGATAGTTCGTGATAACTTGATAGTTAATGCTCGATGAATATTTTCTCTCATACGATTAAACATGCAGCTCATTGATACTTGCAGTTCGCTAAAAAGTGTATTCCAGAATTGCCGATGTTACTTGTCATAGTGTTTTTAAGAAATAATGCGTTGCACTACTTGCACTGTGTCTGTCACAGAGCTGCGTCGTCCAGCGAGTCTCTCCTGCTGCTGTCACTGAGAACTGTCACCTTAGTGCTGTCACTGCGTACTGCGTAGGTGCTGTCACTGAGCGCTGTCTGTCTCAGAACTGGCTTCGTCGAGCGAGTCTCTCCTGCTGCTGTCACTGAGTACTGTCACTGAGTACTGTCACTGAGTACTGCCACTGAGTACTGTGTGTCTGTCGCAGAGCTGGGGTCCTCCAGCGAGTCTCTGCTGCTGCTGGCTGTGAGTGCCTGTCACTGAGTGCTGTCACTGAGTGTTGTGTGTCTGTCGCAGAGCTGGGGTCCTCCAGCGAGTCTCTGCTGCTGCTGGCGGTGGCCGCCGAGCCGGTGGCCCCCCTGCTGCGGACGCTCACCCAGCTGACTCCGCTGGAGGAGGGCGGGGAGGAGGTGGCGCCCCTGTACCCGGCCGCCACCTGGCTGATCCACTGTTTGCAGGCCGTTCAGCTGCTGGGGGCCCTGCGCGCCGCGCGAAACGACCCGGCCAAACAGGTGAGCGGCCTGACCCGACCCGGTCAAACAGGGTGACGCACGGACCTGCGCCCTGGCATGGGCCGTGTCCAGTACATACACTCACAGAGATTGGTGCCTTCAAGTTAGCATTGCAGGTGAAAATTACTCGTAGCATTGCACAATTTCTCGAACTTGGCTGACGTAAAGTTATCAAATCCATTTTACTAACATCGGAATATTAACTTTGTTTCATACTATAATCCTTATTACTTCGAAATCTTCCTCGTACTTTCCGTTGTTATTTTATGTTTTAAAAGAAAGGTTCCACTACGCAATTCCAAATGAACTGTTGCGCTGTGATCTGTGCGTGCGCTGACCGTCGCCGCCCGGCGCTGTCGGCAGGTGTCCGCGCTGCACGCGCTGGCCTCCCTGTGTGGCAGTGTGCGCGGCCGCGCCGCCGTGGTACACGTGCTGAGCCGCTCGGACCTGGCCTGGCCGCTGGTCGAGCTGCTGTCGGAGGCCGAACGCGGCTCGGCGGCGGCCGAGTACTGCGCGGAGCTGCTGCTGACGGCGGCGCGCGGCGCCGACTCGCTGCCGTGCGCCGCGCGGCTGGCGCAGAAGGCGCGCGCCGAGCCAGAGCTGGCTGAGCGGCTGGGCGCCGCGCTGGACTGGGTGGCGCCGCTGGCGGAGGTGGCCGCGCGGCCCGACCGGGTGGCGGCGCTGTGCCAGCTGCTGCGCGAGCACGCCGAGCGCGCCGGCCCCCTGCCGCCGCCGCTGGTGACGGCGCTGCGCCAGCTGGCGGCCGCCGCCGTACCGGGGGAGGCGGCGGCGCCGGACGGCGGCCGGGCCGGCCGCGAGCTGCGCCACCGGTACGCGCTGACGCAGCTGTACTCGGCCGACGGTATGGAGCTGACTGTGACGGTGCTGCGCCGGGTGACGGAGGCCTACAGCCAGCCGGCGGTGCACTCGCCGGCGCTGGCCGGATCCCAGGGCCTGGCGCTGTGTAACCTGCTGCGGCCGGCTGTGGCGCTGCTGCACCAGCTGCTGGCCCTGGTGGTGGAGGCGCGCGGCGCAGAGTTCCAGGACCTGACGGCCGTCTCGCCGCTGGTGGACACCTACCTGCTGTTGTGGGCGGTGCCGGCCGGCAGTGCCGCCGCCGACGCCGCGCAGGCCGTCCAGCGCGAGGTGTTGTCGGCGCTGCTGACGTTCACCCAGCCGGTGGTGGCCGTCACCTCGGAGGCGGCCATCCAGCAGAGCGTCTGGACGCGCATGGTGTCTGAGGTGCTGGAGGCGGCGGTGCGCGCGCCGCACACGCTGCTGCCCTGTCTGGGCCTGCTGTCGGAGCTGCTGCCGCTGCCGCTGCCGCTGCAGACGGGCCGCCCGCTGACCGAGGCCGAGTCGGCGGCCGCCCTGGAGCTGCGCCGACTGTGGGCGGCCCACCTGCTCACCACCGGGCACCAGGTGCGCTCGCTGGCGGCGCTGTTGTGCCAGACCAGCTGCGCGCCGCTGCTGCAGGCGGCGCGCAGCTTCCTGGTGCAGCTGGCCGACCTGTCGTCCACGGCCGCGCAGCTGGTCACCTCGGCGCTGCTGCACGCCGTCCAGGGCACGCTCAGCTCGCCGCCGGGCGGCCTGGCGCGCGCGCTCAGCCTGCTGGCCGGCCTGGTGACGCACCCGTCCATCAAGGCGGCGGCGCTGGGACTGCTGGCCAGCCAGCCGGCGCACGCGCCGCTGCTGGGCCGGCTGCTGTCGCTGCTGACGGCACGGCCGGCCGGCCTGGCCAGCGGCGAGCACCTACAGGCGCAGGAGTGGCTCGTGTCGGCGCTGCACGCGCTCTGCGACCACGAGGTGGCCATGGTAGCCGACCGCGACCGGGAGGAGGCCGGCGCGCTGCCGCCGCCGCCGCTGCTGGCCGCCATCACGGACGCGCTCATGGCGCACCTGGCCTGTCCCGAGACCGGCTTCGGGTCGCTGCTGCTCGCCGTTCGCACCCTGGTCATACTCACCGAACACAAATGGGGCATTCACCGCATCAAAACGTGAGTAATCATCGTCTATATTTTCTCCCAATACCTCATGTTTTCACCTTTATGTATCCGCCCGGCCTAACCTTAAATGTGCATCATGTATTTCATTTATACTCTCATTTTGTAGTAAACCGGCATAATTGCAACACACATTGTAACTACGTGACTCAGTCAGCTTGCACTGTGCCTGTAATCTCACTGTATGGTCAACTGGTCATTCAAGAATGTCTTCTGGTCCGCCATCGGCCATTGCAGCGGGCTGGCGCACCAGTCGGGCTGTCTGATGGGTGGTGTGTATATGTGATGTGATGTCTGTCTGGTCACTGACCGGTGTTTCTCTGTGCAGCGGGCTGGCGCACCAGCCGGGTTTGTGTGCAGGGTGGTGTGCAGATGTGATGTGATGTCTGTCTGGTCACTGACCGGTGTTTCTCTGTGCAGCGGGCTGGCGCACCAGCCGGGCTGTCTGATGGGTGGTGTGTATATGTGATGTGTGTCTGGTCACTGACCGGTGTTTCTCTGTGCAGCGGTCTGGCGCACCAGCCGGGCTGTCTGATGGGTGGTGTGTATATGTGATGTGTGTCTGGTCACTGACCGGTGTTTCTCTGTGCAGCGGTCTGGCGCACCAGCCGGGCTGTCTGACGGGTGGTGTGCCGATGTGATGTGATGTCTGTGTGATCACTGACCGGTGTTTCTCTGTGCAGCGGGCTGGCGCACCAGCCGGGCTGTCTGACGGGTGGTGTGCCGATGTGATGTGATGTCTGTCTGGTCACTGGACCGGTGTGACTCTAACCAGATATATCATCACCCATGGAGCAGTCAATGCTGATCGAACCACGAGTCTTGTGCGCCAATGGGACACATTGCTCCAACATCTGAACTTACCAAGCCTATCTATTCTGGCTAATCAAAAAATAGACCAACCGCGGACAGCATGGAACAAGTTAGCATCTGCATCAGTGGATCAAAGTATGACAAAAGTCATCAGGAACACAGCAGAGAATATGACAAGTTTGTTTTGGCTTTCGCTACTACCACAAACCGAAAAGTACGAGGCGCCGAAAACATTTTGGCCGGCAAGCAAGTACAGCGCAATTACCAGACAAGCGACACTAACCAAAATTGTCCTACTAACGGGCCACTCTTTGGTGGCCACAAGCATGGTTAGAAGGCACAAAGAAACTGTTGTCTGTCCATTGTGTCGTAATGCCATTGAAACTCTGGAACACATGCTCTTTGAATGTGACAAACTGAAAGACGATAGAGTAGCTGCTCAAAAAATATACAAAACTATCTTGAACAGAACGCTACCAGCAGCAGAACTTATCATCATCGCCGATAAGCCACAAAGCTTGATCATCCATTATATCTACCAAGCCCGTGTGCGCAAGGAACTCACTGAGAATATAACCAAGAAGAGTAACTGTTAAAGAGTCCTCCCAACTATGATGTCCTGAAAATTTATATCATCCAGACAGCTAACATAATTGGAAGACGATCAGAAATGATCCTGCATCTACTAGATGGAGTCGACGAAATAAGTCTAAAAAAAAAGTCTAAGGTGTTTCTCTGTGCAGCGGGCTGGCGCACCAGCCGGGCTGTCTGATGGGTGGTGTGTATATGTGATGTGTCATGTGATGTCTGTGTGGTCGCTGACCGGTGTTTCTCTGTGCAGCGGGCTGGCGCACCAGCCGGGCTGTCTGACGGGTGGTGTGCCGATGTGATGTGATGTCTGTCTGGTCACTGACCGGTGTTTCTCTGTGCAGCGGGCTGGCGCACCAGTCGGGCTGTCTGACGGGTGGTGTGCCGATGTGCAGTGATGTAATGTCTGTCTGGTCACTGACCGGTGTTTCTCTGTGCAGCGGGCTGGCGCACCAGCCGGGCTGTCTGATGGGTGGTGTGTATATGTGATGTGATGTCTGTGTGATCACTGACCGGTGTTTCTCTGTGCAGCGGGCTGGCCCACCAGCCGGGCTGTCTGATGGGTGGTGTGTATATGTGATGTGTCATGTGATGTCTGTGCGACCACTGACCGGTGCTTCCCTGTCCAGCGGGCTGGCGCACCAGCCGGGCTGTCTGATGGGTGGTGTGTATATGTGATGTGTGTCTGGTCACTGACCGGTGTTTCTCTGTGCAGCGGTCTGGCGCACCAGCCGGGCTGTCTGATGGGTGGTGTGTATATGTGATGTGTGTCTGGTCACTGACCGGTGTTTCTCTGTACAGCGGGCTGGCGCACCAGCCGGGCTGTCTGACGGGTGGTGTGTATATGTGATGTGATGTCTGTCTGGTCACTGACCGGTGTTTCTCTGTGCAGCGGGCTGGCGCACCAGCCGGGCTGTCTGACGGGTGGTGTGTATATGTGATGTGATGTCTGTCTGGTCACTGACCGGTGTTTCTCTGTCCAGCGGGCTGGCGCACCAGCCGGGCTGTCTGATGGGTGGTGTGTATATGTGATGTCTGTCTGGTCACTGACCGGTGTTTCTCTGTGCAGCGGGCTGGCGCACCAGCCGGGCTGTCTGACGGGTGGTGTGTATATGTGATGTGATGTCTGTCTGGTCACTGACCGGTGTTTCTCTGTCCAGCGGGCTGGCGCACCAGCCGGGCTGTCTGACGGGTGGTGTGTATATGTGATGTGATGTCTGTCTGGTCACTGACCGGTGTTTCTCTGTGCAGCGGGCTGGCGCACCAGCCGGGCTGTCTGACGGGTGGTGTGCCGATGTGATGTGATGTCTGTCTGGTCACTGACCGGTGTTTCCCTGTGCAGCGGGCTGGCGCACCAGCCGGGCTGTCTGATGGGTGGTGTGTATATGTGATGTGTGTCTGGTCACTGACCGGTGTTTCTCTGTGCAGCGGGCTGGCGCACCAGCCGGGCTGTCTGATGGGTGGTGTGTATATGTGATGTGTGTCTGGTCACTGACCGGTGTTTCTCTGTGCAGCGGGCTGGCGCACCAGCCGGGCTGTCTGATGGGTGGTGTGCATATGTGATGTGATGTCTGTGCGACCACTGACCGGTGTTTCTCTGTACAGCGGGCTGGCGCACCAGCCGGGCTGTCTGCAGTCGCTCATCAGCCGTCTGTCGGCCGAGTTCAGTCGTCAGAACAGCGACTGTATGGCCACCGTGCAGGCCACGCTCGAGCTGGTGCGTCTGCTGGCCGAGCCGCAGTCGGCGGCGGCGCTCAGCCTGCCCCAGCTGGCCGCCGCGCTACGCTGGACCGAACAGGGCGAGGAGGCCGGCGAGCTGGTCGACCCGCCGCTGCGCGTCCTCGAGAGGAAAATACACCAGGTGAGACATTCGAACCGGTCCAGGAACTCTGAGGGTCTGCATGAAGTCACGGAGCTTGGAATGATGTAAATTTATCTGTTACGACGTGGGGTGCTGTCATGAATCGTTACCAGGAGCGTTTTCATGGAGAGAGTCAGTTGCAATGTGCTATCACGGAGTTGCGTGTTAAAGCGCATTCAGCAGTGTTGTCAGGGGCTGGTGGGGAGGGTCAAGTGTGTGGTGAAGCCGCGGATTGCATTGCTGTCACGGGCTGGGTGGGTGGGCAGTATTGGATGCTCTCAGTACCCGCTCGTACTGACTGGTGCTCGCTCCGCCTCAGGAGGTGCGCGGCGAGGACGAGGAGCTGGACGCGCTGCGGGACGGCCTGGCCGACGTGATCCGACAGCTGGCCGGCGTGGACGAGGTGGCCGACAGCGTGGAGCCGGGCGAGCCGCCGCCCGAGGGCCGGCCGCCGCCGTCACTCGACCAGCTCTACCAGCAGCGGCCCGTGTTCGTGGTCACTGACGACGAGGAGATCCCCGGCTACTGGCTGCAGCAGTCGCTCGACGACGAGCTGGACAACGACGACGAGCTGGTCAGTCTGCCCTCCTTCCACCCGCCGCTGGATCGGCGGCCTTCCCCCCGCCCGTACCGTAAGGGCTCCTGGTATCTCGGAGCTCAGCTGACTGGTTATATAGGAGCGTCTGTGGCTCTGTAGCAGACTTCGTCTATGTGTCGACTGTGACTCTAGCTGTATAGTTATAGGGTCTCTGACTCCGTAGCAGACTCCTGGATGACTTCGGCTATGTAGCGGATTCTACGATTCCGGCAGTGTATCGCTTGTAACTCCTGAACTCACTGACTTATGTCCTGAATCCGCTGTGCGTCACCCCAGGTGAGCGTCAACCTGGCTGCGGTGGCCCGGGAGCTGCTGCCGGCGGTGGACCTGCCCGCCGAGCTCAGCAGACTGCTGCGCGGCCGCGACACCGCCGACGCCCGGCCCAGCGGCAAGGTGCCGTCGGCCCTGCTGCCAGGCGCCAGGGAGCGCGGACACTTCAGTGAGTCCACACCTGGCGCTTGTGTTGCAAGTTGTCGCAAGTTGTGACGCTTTGTGATCGATATTGAGCGTGCTGAGTGTGTATTCACTCCTCTCTCCTCATGATGCCTGGTTGAGCCCGGCGCGGTCTCAAATTGATTGAATGTAGTGTCTCGGGTCTGACCGCTGTGTTCGTCGGACAGGTCTGCCGGCGCGCGGCCGGGGCTTCAACCGGCCGCTGGCTCGCGGTGACCACTTCCGCTCTCGGCCGCCCAACACGTCCCGGCCTCCCTCGCTGCACGTGGACGACTTCGTGGCGCTGGAGAAGCGCGGCGAACACCCCACCGGGCCGACGGGCTACAATGGGGTGCCGCGCGTGCCCGCCCGCGGACGGGTCAGTGCCGGTCCTCATAGCCCACTCTGGTTGTCAACAAAAACGTCATTTGACCCTAGATGGCGCAGCTTCAGTGGCGTATCCAAGGGGGGATCCTGGGGGTCCTAGGATCCCCCCTGGAGCCTAGAAAAAAAAGTTTTTTTTTATATCACGGAAAAAATTGAAATGACTTCAAGGGCCCTTTTGACCACTTCCCATTTTATTCGCTAAAAGAAAAAGTATTGTAGAACTCTTTTAGGGACCCTTTGAGGATTATTAGAGGACACATTTAGGCCAATGATGGACCTTGTGAAGTATACAGAGGGCCCTCTCAGGTACACAGAGGGCCCTTTCAGGCACACAGAGGGCCCTCTCAGGCACACAGGGGCCCTCTCAGGCACACAAAGGCCCTCTGAGACACACAAAGGGCCCTCTCAGGCACACAGACGGTCCTCTGAGAATCACAGAGGGCCCTTCCAGGCACACAGAGGGCCCTCTCAGGCACACAGAGGGCCCTCTCAGGCACACAGAGGGCCCTCTCAGGCACACAGAGGGCCCTCTCAGGCACACAGAGGGCCCTCTCACGCTCACAGAGGGTCCTCTCAGGCACACATAGGGCCCTCTCAGGCACACAGAGGGCCCTCTCAGGCACACAGAGGGCCCTCTCAGGTACATAGAGGTCCCTCTCAGGCACACAGAGGGCCCTCTCAGGCTCACAGAGGGCCCTCTCAGGCACACAGAGGGCCCTCTCAGGCACACAGAGGGTCCTCTCAGGCACACAGAGGGCCCTCTAGGGCTCACAGAGGGCCCTCTCAGGCACACATAGGGCCTTCTCAGGCACACAGAGGGCCCTCTCAGGCAAACAGAGGGCCCTCTCAGGTACACAGAGGGCCCTTTCAGGCACATAGAGGGCGCTCTCAGGTACACAGAGGGTCCTCTTAGACACACAGAGGGCCCTCTCAGGCAAACAGAGGGCTCTCTCAGGTACACAGAGGGCCCTTTCAGGCACACAGAGGGCCCTCTCAGGCTCACAGAGGGCCATCTCAGGCACACATAGGGCCCTCTCAGGCACACAGAGGGCCCTCTCAGGTACACAGAGGGCCCTTTCAGGCACACAGAGGGCCTTCTCAGGCTCACAGAGGGCCCTCTCAGGCACACATAGGGCCTCTCAGGCACACAGAGTGCCCTCTCAGGCACACATAGGGCTCTCTCAGGCACACAGAGGGTTCTCTGAGACACACAGAGGGTCCTTTCAGGCAAACAGAGGGCCGTCTCAGGTACACAGAGAGCCCTCTCAGGCACACATAGGGCCCTCTCAGGCACACAGAGGGCCCTCGCAGGCAAACAGAGGGCCCTCGCAGGCAAACAGAGGGCCCTCTCAGGTACACAGAGGGCCCTCGCAGGCAAACAGAGGACCCTTTCAGGCACACAGAGGGCCCTCTCAAACACACAGAGGGCCCTCTCAGGTACTCAGGGGGGCCTCCCAGGCACACAAAGGGCCCTCTAAGACCAGCAGAGGGCCCCTTAAGACGAACAGAAGGCCCTCTGAGGTACGAGGGTCAATGTCAGGCCACAAGGTACCCTAAGAGGCCACCAGACGGCCCTCTTAGATCAAAGATGGTCCCTGGAGGTCACCAAAGGGCCCTCTGAGGTGAACATAGGGCCCTCTGAGATCGAAGAGATCAAAGAGATCAAAGAGGGCCCTCTAAGGCGAATGGAGGACCTTCAAGGGCGACAAAGTGCCCTCTGAGGCCACTGGAGGGCCTTCTGAGGTGATATGAGGCTATGTCAGACCACCATGAGCCCTATGAGGTCATCAGGCCCTCTGAGATCAAAGAGGGTCCTTGGAAGTCATCGGAGGACCCCTTAAGGCTCATTGAGACGAACAAAGGCCAGAGGGCCCCCTTAGACACCACAAAGAAGTAAAAAAGATCCCTCTGAGGTCAAAGACAGCTCTCTGAGATGTAATAGGGCCATTTGAGGCCTCCGAGGGCCCTCTGATGCCACAGAGAGGCGCCCTCTGATGCCAAAATAGGGTCCTCTGAAGTCTAAATCCACCAGAGGGCCCTCTGAGGCGAACAGAGGGCCCTAACATCCACCTCAAAGAGGGCCCTCTGAAAATCAACTGGCCCTCGGAGTCAGTGTCCCAAAATCGTATTTTGGCTTGGGTGTCAGAGGGGGGAAAGGTCACCCAAAAGAGGGATAAGAGTGGACAATTGTCAGTCACAGGGCAGTCGGAGCCCTCTGAGAAGGCCACTTGAGCCTTACAACAGAGGGCCCTCTGAGGTGATATGAAGGCTATGTCAGGCCACTATGGGCTCTATGAGGTCATCAGGCACTCTGAGGAAAAAGCTGGCCCTCTGAGGCGAACAGAGGGCCCTTGGACAATCAGAGAACTTTTTAGGTCAACTAGGGGCCTTATGAGGCCAGCAAAGGGACCCTTTGGGACACAAACAGGGCCTCTCAGGCACCCGGAGGGACCTCTTTTCTAAGGCAAACAGGGGGTCACCTTAGATGATATGAGGGCTATTTTAGGCCACTAGGGGCCTCATGTATTAGACCAACATACGGTCATTTGAAGTAAAAGAGAACCTTTTGAGGTAAAAAGGGCCCCTGGAGAGAAAACAGTGGGATCTTTCAGGTACCCAGAAGGTCCATGGAGGCCACTAGAGGACCCTTTGAGGCCAGTGATGGTCTTCAGAGGCCATCAGAGGGTCCCTCTGAGGGTAACAGAGGGTCCTTAAGACGACCAGAGGCCCTCCGTGAAAATGCGGGCGTCACAAGGCCCGGTTTGCATCAAAGGTCAGGTAGCTATGCCCAGTTTTGGTTCTCTGTTGCCTGCCGACGTGTTCCGAGCTGTCGCAAAAAAAACGATGTGGTGGCACCCACGCCCCCCCCCCCCCCCCCGGCCGGCCAGGGTCCTTCTAACCAGGGATTCGGAGGCGTGGAAATTTCAGACGGCTCCTGCTCCGGCTCCGGAGAAAAAAAAATCGGTTTCGGCTCCGGCTCCGGCTCCGGCTTCGACTCCAGTACTCAGTTCATCCTTTATACAAATACATACGGGTGTAAAAGAAAAGATGAAGGATTGGTTGACGTTGCTTCTGTATTTGCATAACAAGGCTATTTTGAATACCACATATTTTACTGCCTAGTGCCTTGTAGGTACTGTGAAACCGAACTAGGTCAATAATGTTTTCCTCTTAAAAAAAAGCAAAAAAAAAAACAGCCGGAGTCGCCGCCTTTTTTGCCGCTCCGGCTCCGGCTCCGGGCTATATTGTTTCACGGCTCCGGCTCCGGCTCCAGGCAAAATATGCCGGCACCGGCGGCTCCTCCGGCTCCAGCTTCGGCTCCGCACCCCTGCATCTATAACTCGGCTTCTGAGCCACGTACCAACACGCCTAAGGCAGTGTTCCAAGGGACGCAAGCAAACAATAATGACGAAATTACGCCTGTCACTTTTTAGATCAGTTCAAAATTCAGTTCACATAGGTCATCCAAGGTTAAATTTCGCCAATTTTCAGGTCCAATTTCGACAATTTTCAACAAACCACTGCATGATTCGGAAATGAATAGAGCTACAGTACCGGGGAAAAGCGTAGTTAATAGCTCTTTTAACACCCCTTTCGCCGTTTCCATCCTCAGGACATTCAAATCCTTCTCCTCCATGCCGCAACCCCTGATCCGGACTGGACCTGGGCGGGCAACTTTATTCCATGCGGGCGGCTCCCATTGGAGCGCACTGCAGCTCCTAAGGAAGCACACTCGTAACCGGGTGCAGTGAGCACTTGGGAGGCTGGTCGGCCTGTCCTGTTGGACAGGCTCAGCCCCAGTGAGTCACCAAGGTGCCCGCCCAGACCAATGTCTCCCTCAATTCCTATCATCCCTCCGGCCCTGAAATGGTCTCGTTAGACCGAAAGCCGAAGGGCCTGGATCCAACCCAACAAAACAAACAAAGCTCTTTTAACGCTCTTTCTGTAAACTGTGCTCAGATTTGACCTAAGCCTGTTAATTCTACACTTTTTATATCGGAACATTTTCATGTTTCAACAGCTCTGTAGGCCTGATAGCTCTTCCTGCGAAACCTTTTTTGGGTCGAAAATGGCAGAACATGACGTCATTCTGACGTATTTGCGGCCAACCTATCATAGCCTCTGGAAAAAGGTCACAATGTGTAAAATGGATGCCCGGAGAGGTCCTAAAAGTTTGGTGGCGATATCTGCAGTCATTTAGGAGATAGCTACGGAAGAGGACAGGGGGCCGTTTCGCCCCCCCCCCTACGGGGCGCGGGCTAATGCCCTTTCACCTCAGGCTTCAAGGGCCCTTTTGCCACTTAAGGGCCCTTTCAACCCAGTCAGTCAAGGGCCCTTTTGACTTCGGATCCCCCCTGAGAGAAATCCTAGATACGCCGCTGCGCAGCTTGACATTTTTTTTGCGTGAATTAAGGTTAGGAACAAAACTAAGGTGTGCAGTGTGAACCATTAAACGGATGTCAGGTTGGACAGAAATATTTTGCGTTGTTTTCCCACATTTAGTGTTGCTGTTCATCGCCTCGGTATCATTCTTATAATCTGTTTTGTTTATGTGCAGGGCTCGAACCGGTCACGGGCCAGGTCCCGCGGAGGGTTCGGCGACCGGGCGCGCGGAGGATTTTCAGAGTTCCGCGGCGGTCGCAACAGAGGTGAGCAGTTTTTCCGTGCCCAGTATATTCTTTTCCACCATGACAGTATTCATGAGCCGACGCTCGCCATAATACCTAGGCTTCCGGCGTAAATTTATTTGTTTTTTTTTCCTGCCTTATTTGTCGATCTCGTAACTTCTTCAAACAATTTAAGTTGTTTTCATCGATTGCCTGGCCGATGGAGATCTGGGACCTGTAAAAATGTGTCTTTGCATTGCTGCTGACCGCTGTATGAAATTCAGCCTGTATGACCCTTGTTCTTTTCCGCCGTCACAGGAGGCGGCGGCGGTCCGTCTGCCCGCGGCGGTGGTGGAGGCGGCGGCGGCGGCGGCGGCGGAGACAGCTACCGGGGCAGTCCGGCGCGGTTCCGTCCTGACGGCCGCCACGAGGAGCGGTTCGGCTGCGCGGTGGGCAACAGTGGGTTCCGCGGCGGCCGGCGCGGCGGCGGCGGCGGGGGCAATGGACCCTACGGCGGCAGATTCGATAAGAGAGAACGATTCGGATTTGGTCGTGAGCGCGGAGGGAAACATTTCCGGCCGTTCGGTAGGTAGATGTTGTAACTGTCCGCGCACGATCGTGATTTGTGTTGAATCGGGGCCCAGAGATTCAGCAGCTGGTGATTCAGCTGGCTGGCGCCATTTTGACTCAGTGGTGAGGCTCTGGGCTGAAAATATTGTGTCACTGTGTCAGGTGTCTTGCCTGTGAAAGCAATTACTTTATTGTTCACGAGAATACATGTTTTGTAGCATATGATGGTACACGCTCGTTTGTGGTTGTCACATGTTTTGACACCCAATCATTTGCTTGGAAGTCAGCGCGATGTGTTCAGTTATGGAAAGCTGTCCAGGTACGAATAATGCCAGCAAAGTTTTTTGAAAACTCCTTTTTATGCCAGGAGCAAAAGAGGACTGAAAGTTGAATTGAATGTCATTGTGCTATGATTTACGGTGACATCGGCTATGATTTACTTCTGCATTTTCCTCATCGTATTTGCTGGAGAAGGGCGGATGCTCTATTCGTTGGCCAAGAGAGAGTGTTCAGGGACTAATGGACTTGACGTGGCAATTGTGTGTGTATGTGAAGGGAGGTCATTCAGCGATCTGCAGCTGCAGCTGAAAGGGAATGCAAGTAGCAATGTGTAGATCAGACCTGTTAGTCGTCTCCCTCACCATATAACCATAATTCGTTGTCATTGCCAAGCCCATTGCGGTGTCCCGTGGCCAAGGCCGTATATTAGGCCCGTGGCCAAGCCCGTGGCCGGTGGCCTTGCCCATTGCCTGGCCCGGTTTGGCCCTGTTTACATCAAGTTTACATAGCCTTGACCAAGCCTTGGCCTGGCCTAAGGCTGGGATGCTTTGGCTATCTGTAAGAATCTTGGCCTTTGCTTGGAGTTGTCTTGGAGGACTTGGATCATTTGGATGATCATATATTCAAGAATCTTGAGATGATCTTTCTCTAAGAATCTTGGGGTGATCGTCTACGCTATGTTTAATAATTTTTCTTTAAATTCTGCGCTAGTTGTATTTTGATTTTTGGAATACGTCACTTCAAAAAGTTTCGTATTCAGTTATATAATTGTATTTATGACATCCTTGAGCAGCAATCATAATACAAATGTAATGCAGCAGAGACGTATCCGGTGTAGTGAAAACACCAAAAGGGGGCCAGCGTTGAAAACAACAAAACGAAGGAGGATTTTGTTATTATTTTGTGAGCATTTCACTTATGTAAGTGTTTCATCAAATGTTCCAGATTATTTCCAGTATGTCTTTTGTTCTAGTTTTTTATTTCATACTGCCATTCTGCCATTTTTGCAGTTTGTAATAACAATAAAGCAAATTGACAACGTTTTGGCTTGTTTTGGGTGGTTTTGGTTTGTTTACCAACATCCTTTTTTTCTGCAGGTATTTGATTTGTTCAATTCTCTGACAGGTTGAGGCTGCATTTGAAAAGGTCCTTTTGTTTTTCCCAGTTCTCTATGTACCGTGGTTTTTCCTACATTAGAGAATATCAATATTCCTTGGATCGTTCTGCTGGCAGGCTGCTTGCAGAAGATCTGACTTATTCAGTTATAACTTATTTCAGTCATTTTTTCCATTAATGCCTGTCAATTTGTATTTACTTTGCACTTTATAATTTTATATAAACCTCAAGTGAAGAAAGAATCATGTAGAAGCTGCTCAAGCAGTCATTTACAGCATATTTCACAACCCAATGGAAACTTGTTTGAGAAGAAAAAACATAATTCATCATGCACTCTTATATTCTCTCCACTGCAGCTGCATCCTAGCTGAAAAGGGGCGCAACATGTGCTCAGCTTTCCTCACCGTTTCTCAGGGTTCTGCAATATGCCATGCATATCTTGCTGTGCAAATGCCCACTGAAGTCGGGAATTTTTTTCAGCGAGGAAATTTCACACACAATATGGACTGTCTGGATACAGCCTAAACCTTACCATTTGGTAGAATAGTTGTTGATATTAAAACATCAGGCCAGGATGTGTGCCCAAACATTATTGTAGGCTAGTAGGTCAAGCCTTTGGCCACAATTATGGACTCATTTAATCCTTACCTACAAGTATTCTCAGGGAGTGTGAAAAAATATAAACAGAGTTGGGGAAGATGGCAATAGTGGGGAACATCTCCCACTGAAAAAAAGGAGATCGCGTGCTGAATACTGACCTGACCTTTGCTATTTTCAGATTTAACTGCTCTTTCCTGCTAGTCCTGGACGTTCGCTAACATGGCGACACCGCCTCGAGAGCCCGGCCATGTACAGCATCGCATGTCCGCCGATGAGATGCGCGTGCTGCGGGAGTGTAACTCGGAGAGTTTCTACCGTCGGAGTGTGCCGATCTCCAGCGCCATGATGGCCGGCACTCTGTACATGATCCGCTCCGGCCGCTGGCAGCCCGGACGTCGGTTCGGCGTCGTGCCGAAAGTCGCCGTAGCCGGTATCGTTGGCTACTTCATTGGCAAGATTTCTTACATGGAAACGTGCAAGGAGAAGCTGATGCGTCTGCCGAACAGCGAGATCGGCCGTCTGTTGCGCAAACAGCGCTCGGGCGGCGTGGCCGAGCTGGGTCTGCCCGAGCAGGGGGAGCCGGCGGCGGAGGCTGCGGCCGGCGCGAGCTCGGTTCGGCCCGAGTGGAGTCTGCCGCCGCGCTCCGAGGGCCTGGACGACTACTACCGGCCGACGGTGGACACGCCGGGCGCCGTGGGGCCGCTCACCACCGACGACATCCCGCCGGCGCAGAACTACACCACCTACGAGGAGCTGCGGCGCCAGAACCGGGCAGAGCTGGAGCAGCGGCTGCGGCGCGGCGCGCCCGCCGACCAGCCGCCTCCCGAGCGCCAGGAGCGCCGGCCGCCGCCCTCGCCGCCCGACTCCTCGGCCAACAAGTACGGAGACGTCTGGGACAAGTGAGCTGGGTGAACTGTTTTGTTTTGTGGTGCGTTAGGTGTGGCAGGGTATGCTAAATGTAGTGATATAATGTTATTTCTAGTAGCAACAAGCGAGGAAGCGTCTGAGCTTTTGTCGTTCAGCAGATTGCCGTCAGATTGACGCTCGCAATGCGAGAAGTTGGGATATCCCGGCTCCGTTGCCCTAATACCATTGGGGGGTAAAAGATGACGATGCGAAGAGACGCTTTTGTGTTGACCTCAACATGAGATGTTCCTATTTCAACTGGGTGTCATCCTTACTATAATTTTTACTATAGAACCAGACTTTCGTACATAAATTGCATTTGAAGGGATTACTGAGAAGCTTTTTAAGTGAACCTTACACTTTCCCGATCCCACGCAATCATGACCTTGGGGAAAGAACATTGCGACGTAATGGAATATTTCACGTCTTGGAAACGATGCGAAATTTTTATGTATTGTTATTGTCGCAGTCGTTACTGCTGTTGCCCGAAAACGCAAGAATCGAATGAACGCTTTCCGCGCTGCATGGCAGCATGCTGTGAAAACGCTAAATAATTGTACGTGAAACCGGGCTGAAGAGTAAAATAAAAATCCAATTACAGATCACATCAAACTTTGTATCGTTGATCATAATCGTCATGCGATGCGATCCTGTGTAAACTGTCAGGCCGCCCTTACGAAGTTGGTATTGCGCTGGTAAACGATTCTGAGTCTGACCACTACAAATAAGTCTGACCATGGCCACATGCGGAACGCATGTTTTTTAATCCCACCCAGAAATGACAAACAAGCTCCCTGATTGGCCAGTTGCCGGCCAGTTGGACTTGAGCAGTCGCCATGTGGTGGTATCGGGGACTCGGCTGGCATCGTTAGGTGTTGAATTATGTGTTTCGTTGTGCTAGATATTGCCAATTCGCTTTGATATTTGATAAATAACGTTGGCTCATTCTTTGGTGACCTTGCATACTAATACGACGATATTTTGATACCGATTATTATGCATCAAACATCATGAGACAAATGTGGCGATTTCCACACCCTTTTGCAGTGCCCCCTCCCCTTGTGTAGTGAGTTAACAGGCTTGTAAGAACCAAGTGAACCATTTTTTAGTCAAGTGGTCATGATCGTCCCTACATCTAATGGATAATAGTCTTGCGCAAACTTATAAAGTACTGGAGGAAGAAGAAGTTACGATTTTAGAGTACGCAAACTTGATATTAAAAAATCTCAGGTATTTTGGCTATATAAAGTGAGAAGAAAAGTTCAATTGATCATTATTTATTACAATTGCAATAATGATAATATCATGATAATTGTACTGTCAGGTAATGATAATAGTCATGTCACGTCATGCCACTAACCAGGCACACAGACACAACACATTTTCATCTTTATGTATCTAGGCATAAGGTATTACAGGCATGTTTTTGCACACCTCTCATGTGCGAGTGGGCATGGCCTCCTTCATAAGCGTAGGAACCATGGGTGCAAGGGTGCAGCTGCACCCACAATATTTATCCAGTGGGTGCAGACAATGTATTCTGCACCCACAATAATCTGAACCAAAAACCCCTTTTTCATCAACACTACTTCCCATGCAGCACGGCAAATTCAGGATATGTTGCCTACTATCCATCTTTCGAAGCATTTGCTACTGTGATCAGTGATGGTCTTCCAAACTTACATTTGTGCTGAAAAAAAGGGAAATGGAGCATGTGATTGAACACATACCGAACCGATGACCCACTGTCAAAAATGTTAGCCCGATATCTTCGAAAATGGCTAAGTTGGCCGCTTTTACTTTTTGCGGTAGTCAATATTGACAATATTAGCCCTCGAATGTGTGCAGCGTTTTCCGCAGCTTCTAATGTGTAGGGGGAGGGGGAGGGGGTCGGTCGGACCCCCTGCCGTTCGGCCCCTGATCGAGCTAGAGCTTCGTGGAAAAAACGAGGGTGTTGCCCGTGACGAGAGGAAGCCGATGATACCCAATTTTAAGGTCCTACTTCATTGGTTGACCTTCCAGGTCAGGTCAATATTCCAAAAGTCGGGAAAATCGGGACCTGCTAGAACTGCGTAAAGTGAAGCTGTTATCGGGTTGTTCGGGGTGCTGATCACGAATATCTGATGTTAGTTTTGATCACAGATGATTTCTTCATGCATTTAGGCCAGATCGGGTCAGGTCAGGTCAGGTCAACCATTAGGCGTCCTACCGGCTATCCATAGTAGGTGTCAACTACCACTGACGGCGTCGTAGCATGTCACGAAAGCACTAAAACTACTTCGTAAACTTGTTGGTAAGAAGACATTGTTTCAAGTCCACAAACGACAAAACAGTGCAATTCAAATCTTTATATCTATTTATATCTATTTTTTGTTTACTTCGTAAATGTTCAAATGGATGCTAAATTCGAAATCAGCCCTATAAACTACCCTAGAAACATGTAA